GTGGTTAGTTTTCAATTCTTATCTTTGACACTGTTGACCACTTTCCCTTCTTGAAATCATCTTCTCACTTGGCTTCCTTGATACAGCCTCTCCCAGTTTTCTACTTCTCTCTCTGGCTGTCCCTTCTCTGTATTTCTCTGCCTATCCTTATATGATGGATTTCTTGTGAGACACTCACAATCTTCCTGTGCCTTGCTCCTCAACACTCTTCTTGAAATATATCTACAGGATGGGCATGGTGGTGCACACCTGTAATCCCAGTGGCTCTGGAGGCAGGAGGATTGTGAGTTCAAAGCCATCCTCAGCAATTTAGCAAGGCCCTAAGCATCTCAGTGAGATATCCTATCTCTAAATAAAATATAAAAACGGGCTGGGAATGTGGCTCAGTGGTTAAATGCCCCTGGTTCAATCCCCACTACAAAAAAAGGAAAAAACATCATTGTGGGAAGCCACCTGTGAATTACTCAAGGGTCTTCTCTTCATGGCAGCCAGGGAGATTTTAGGGATAACTTTGGTAATTATTCATGATTCTCCCATGCAAGAGATTGCCGAAGGCACATGATCTTTATCTTCACTCTACTAGGAAGATCCTTCATAGTAGCTCCGGAGATGTTGGGAACTGGACAGCCCATCTTTAACCTTTTTTGGTGAAGAACATTCTATGGGAGGGCTTTGATATTCCCTGACATAAATAAAGCAAGCACAGGCTCCATTTTGCCATTTATTCTAGAAGTTCAATTGGTGTGGTCGGCTTGCCCGACCTGCCCCCACTTTTTGAAAATATTTTCTGTGTGCTGTGGTTTTTTTCATTGTTCCATTTTTCTTATCTTTTATTTCGCAGCCAACTCATTCCACTGAGGGGAACCCCATTCTCACCACCTGCGCAGGACGTGGGCGAGAGGTCATAACTATGGGTCTAAGAATAGGCCATGCTTTTGTTCTCTCTTATATTTTAAACATTTATTAATTTTAGCCTGAGTGTAAATATGACATGTTTAGATGAGACAGATTTATTATTCACATTAGAAAGCAAATACTGCTTGTATGATTCCCCATACCATATTTCTCACTCCTGGGGCAATGCAGTCAAAACCAGGTTGAATGTTGTATCTGTACAAATTTGAAAGTCTTTTCCAAAGGTGAGGAGAGAAGAAATATGATGTTCTCTGCTTGCATGCAGGAAAAAGAGGTAGCTTTCTTCTCACACCTCACAAAAAGGGAAAGTCCTTTGCTTGTTGGAGATGCGATCCAAAGAATTCTGGGCTCTCAAAGCTAACTTTTTAGGAATAAAAATAAAATCTCTTTAGGGCAAGATAGACTTCCATTTGTGTCCAGCTTTTGTGATCTAGAGATACTTTCATGCTTCTGAGTCTCACCCCTCCTTGAAATGTCAATACTTACGGAGCTATGCTCCAGTCTTCCTGGTACCTTGGGAGTTGTGGATGAATGAATGAATGGATAGATGGAAATATTCAAAACACACACACACACACGTATATATATTTGGGTTAGGAGCAGTATTTGTCTCTTATTCCTAGCTTAGAGCTTTAGAAATCCTTGGAATATCCCCAGCGATCAGAAAGTCTTTATTATTTATAAGGAGCTCTTTCTACCATACCTGAGTTTATGCGAATAAGGTTATCCAAGATGCATCCTGCCTGGTCATCCTCAAAATTAGAGGCTTAAAAATTTCAATCCCACCCCTCATTCTCAAGGTGGAGATTAGAAATTGAATTCAATCACCAGTGGCTATTGGTTTAATCAATCATGCCTATATAATATAGCGCCAATAAAAAATGTTTGAATAATGAGGCTAGAACTTCATGGATGGTGACCATATTTATGTACCAGGAAGCTTGTATACTCTGATTTCTTGGGGACAGAAGTTCCTGTGCTTGGGTCCTTCTGAACCTTTTCCTATGTACTTCTTTATCTGTCTGTTAATTTGTATCCTTCATAGTAAACTATAATCATAAATGTACTTTCTACATAAATGTAGTACTTTCTAGAGAATTATCAAACCTTGAGTGAGGGTCACAGGAACCCCAAATTTGTAGTTGGCCAGGCAGAAGTGCAGGTAACATAGGGACCCATTTGTGGCTGGGGTCTGAAGTAAGGGATGGTCTTGTAGAATTGAACCTTAATAACTCCGGGCAGTTAGTGTCCAAATTAAATTGTAGGACAGCCAGCTGGTAACAGATAATCAAAGAATTGAGAATATTGTTGGCAAAACAATGTTTTCCTCTCTAGTCTTTGTGCTCCTTGAGACTCATTCTCTATATAATAAACACAGTGCTTTCATAAAATAAGAATGCTCTGAATATTTTATTATATTTAGTTATTTACAGTCCCTGGCTTTAAGAATTTTTCAATCAAAATGAGAAAAACATATTATAAATTACGAAAATACAAAAGGAAAATTACTTAAAAATTCCATTAAATAAAGTTTTATAAGTATTTTGAGAAAAAATGTTTTATAGTTGAAGGGCTTTATTTACAATCTCAAAGGCCCATGAAGTGGGAATGGGAAGATGCTGCTCTTGCATGTAAATTTCAGTGGTACAGTGTAATCACACAAAATAGCAAACTCAGAAACTCAACCACCACCTCAATCCTCCAAGATCATCCAACTCTAGGGGCTTACCAAACACAGAAGCCACTCTGATGGCAAGTGTAAAGACTGTGCTAAAGATAAGGCAGTCTCTCTCTCTCTCTCTCACACACACACACACACACACAAGTTAGGTCAGTGGTGGCGACTTAGTGTCGATTTAGTGGTGACTTAGAACAAAGCAGCCCCCCCCCCCCCCCGCAGGAAAAGAACATCAATCAGGTGCCGGCAGAACGCCTGTCAATCAGCAGGACCCCCTGGCCAATCCTGGAGTTCAGCCAACTCCCCTGACCAACTCCAATGGGACAAAGGACCCTAAAAACACCTTTTCCTGTCCCAAGCCCTTCCCTTCCTGCAGTAAGCCCCATAAAAGTCCAGTCTGGTCGAGCTTCCACGCGGTTTCTCCTCAGACCCTTCCCCTGTCCACTCTGTGGGTCTGATGAAGTTCCGCAGGGAAGTGAGTCTCAATAAAGCCTGTTCAGCGGCCCTTTTAAATCTGCCTCCTTTGGTCGCTGCCCGCCTCGCCTGATCTGACAACACACACACACACACACACACACACACACACACACACACACACACAATAAAGCAGTCACTTAGGCTGGATATGGTGGTACCGCCTATAATCCCAGTGACTCAGGGGGCTGAGGCAGGAGGATTTCAAGTTCAAAGCCAATCTAAGCAATTTAGTGAGGCCCTAAGCAACTTAGTGAGACCCTGTCTCTAAATAAATACAAAAAAGGGCTGGGATGTGGCTCAGTAGTTAAGTGCCCCTCAGTTCAACCCCTGGTACCCCACAAAAATAAGATAAAATAAGGCAGTCACCAAGGAAACCAAAGAGGCTTAGCCCCATGTAAGGGCATTCCTGTTGACTGGAACTGGGACCAGCATTTCTGCATCAAGCTGAAGGACAAAGCCTAGCCACTCTAGAAGTCCTTATTTCCTCCTATCTTCTCCAGTTTCAACTCACCAGTGACAGGACAACAGACAGCAACCTCATTCCAAATATCAGTTGCCTAAAAATGATGAAAAAGAAAGGGAAAGGTGAACCCTTTGCCCTAAATCTGTGAAAATGGGAGGCTTTGAAGAAGCTTAACTAGAATCACATTACATGGATATTTCCCACATTTGGGGATCATCTAAGTGCTGCTGGACTAACAGAAAGAATGTGTTACCAAAGGCCAAGAATTACCAAAGGCAAGAATGTTTCCAAAGGCCAAGGCAACATCTTCATTGAGTTTGAGAAGCCATTTGAAGAAGGCACTGGGGATATATCTTAGTTGATAGAATGCTTGTCTTGCATGTACAAGGCCCTGGGTTCAAACCCCAGCACCAAAAAAAAAAAAAAGGAGGAGGAGGAGGAATTGAAACACATGGATAAGAGTGGATGGCTAGTCAGGTGGTATCCCCCAGCACTGCTGGTCCTTGTCCCCCAAGCCCACAGGATTCCCCATGAAGACTCAAATCCCCAAAGAATACTCTCATCTCAGGGCCAGTGCAGCCTCAGGAGCTCCAGATTGTTTCCTAGTAAGATAGGGCTACAGAAACTCCTGTGCCTCTATGGCAAAGACTGTCCAGCAAAACACTGATTTTTACGTGGTGCAGGAGAGGTAGAAAAGGCCTACACCCTGTGTCTGCAGTCAGCAAGGGCTGACATTTTAGAGCTTTCCTCGTTCCTGGAGTTTGGCATTTTAGGATTGACGGTATTATAAAAATATAACTGTTTTATCACATTTTCCCCCAAAAGATGGAAAGAGCATTCATGACGCTTCTTGAATTTTAAATCAAGAGAGACCCTGGTGCAAATTCCAGACAATGGGAAATTCCAGATAAGTGACTTGCCTAGGGTCACTCAATGAGAGATTAAATGGGATCACACGTAAACTGTCTTGCATCCATCAGTGTAGAAGACTACACAATTAAGTGTGCCGACCAGATGTTCTAGCTTCAGGGTCTTGGAATTACACACTTTCACTACTTCCCCATTATAGGAGTTCTTTTGGACGACTGTCAAATTTAAGGTTTTCGCTGTTGGAATGAACGTCCCTTGACCTTGACTACAGTTTCAATTTACATTCTTGGATTTATTTGGCTACTTGGTGCTCATTTAGATTTAAAAGGGAAGAACCTGGATGCAAATTAAAATTTCAAGCTTGGTAAGTTTTTCTCAACTTTTCTCTGGGTACAACTGTTCCATGTGAATGAACATTTTCCTTTCACATCCATTGAGAAAACTGATAACAGGAATGTACTACCACACACCCCTTCACAAGGTAAAGCGACCCTGAAGGCCACCCACCTGCTTCAGGAGGGACGGTCGTTTTCCCTGACGCCACCGCGCATGCCTGCCCACGAGCCGACGCTGGAAGATGACGTCGCCCGGCGTCGCGGCCTCCCTAGCGCCATGCTGGGCTTTCGGGGAGCAGTGCTTGCACGGGGCCTGCGGGTCGTGGCGTCGGCATGGCTGCGGGACTCGAGTTGCCGTGCCCTGGCCGTGGCGCACACAGCAGGCGCGCCCCGCGCAGGGGACTGGCTGTCCCCAGCCCCACCGCAGCTACACCGGCGCCCGCTCAGCCTTTCGGCCGCGGCGGTCGTGAGCTCGGCGCCCCGCCCTGTGCAGCCCTATCTGCGCCTCATGCGGTTGGACAAGCCCATTGGTGAGTGCTGCCGGGCGCGCGCAAGAGCGGCCCGGGGCTCTGCGGGCCGCGGGTCTCCGAGTGTACCCCTCGGAACTATCCGCGGTGGCCCGCCCGGGCGTATTGAAAATGAGCACCAGAAAGCCGGCTTGGCGCCTCGGTGTCGTGTGTTCTAGGACGGGTCACCTCGTTATAGGATCGGGACGGTCCCCGGAGGGACCAGCCGACTTTCACCCTGAGTCCCAGAGGCAGGCAAGAAGAAAAAAAATCCCACTGGTGTAAATGGTGAATCTACCGAAGCATTGCGTTCTCGTGGCCCCGCATTTGCAACTTTTCAGTGTTGAAGCACTTCTGCAGTTACTAGAGAGATGGATCCTCTCCACAATCCTGTGAGGCAAATACTAAAGACACTGAAGAAACTAAGGGTCCTCATCAGACCCAGACCAGAACCTAGCGGTTCAGTGCTGAACTTCCTCCCCCGCCCAGTCATCCGTAACAAAAGATTTAGTACATTTGAAGGCAGTTGGTACATCCCTTCTGGACCTTATAATCGCCCGCTGAGAGGATTTCCCAGACCTCCTATTCAACACCTACCACCTCACTCTCTACCTCTTTTTTTTTTTTTCCAATAGCATTCACCATTAACTATCTCTATGCACTTATTTTATTGACTCCTCTAATGTAATATAAGCTCCGTATACCTGGGACTTAACTCTTGTCTACTCTCTAGAACATTTTTGGCAATAGTATTAACTGAATTAATAAGTTCTTATCACATCGCCCTAGCCATAGGGATAGAAAGAACTATGGAAACTCCCTGCTTTCGAGGATATCTGGTATGTTTGGAAAAGATACTTGATGAAATGGGAAGTATGGGATCAAATAGGTGTAGTACAGTGCTGCAGAAAAAAATAGAGAAATTACTTTGGGTCTCGAAAAAAAAAAAAAGAAACTTCAAAAAGTTTTAAGAAGAAATTGTACTCCAAAGAATATTTTGATTTTGCAGAGGAGGAAAGAGGTCTTGGTGGGGGAAATATTTTTGCAAAGATCCAGGGGTGGAGTGTTGGAGCAATAAGAGTATGAGCCTCACCTGCAACTCCCAAGAGGGTATAGAAAATTGCAGGAGACAAGGCTGGACTAAAGAAGATGAATAACAAGGAGAAAGAGGATAAGGCTGTATTCTAGCTAATGTGGATGTTGACATTTGCCATATCAGGGTATGGAAACACATTTGAATGCCTACATGTATTCACTTGGCCTTTGTCCATTCAAGACCCCCAATTAGGGCTTGTTTTGTCTAGATTTGTACTCCTATTTGGAATCAGATAACTGAATCATAACAGTTAGCAATTAAAGTAAAAAATATATTAAATAATAGGTATAGCCCTGTCATTGTTGGAATGACCCCCTTGCATTTGGGGGCCAGATTCAGGTTTATAGGCATAAATTTCTAAGCCCAGTTCTAATCTAAAGCTTCACTGTTAGTTCTGTTCTTGGATTCTGCATCACAGAACTATATGAGAGATTTACAGACATTCTAAAAAGACCAATAGCTGCCATTATTACTATTTCCATAATTAAACCTCTGGCTTCTATCTTACTGACTGAACATTTTGCCATGTAACCGGAGTCTATAAACAATTTATGAGCAAGTTTTGGAGCCAGATCTCTTAGATTTGGATCTCTACATCACACATTTGAGAGACCTTAGTTAAACTACTTTACCTCTTTGGGCTAGATTTCTTAACTATAAAGTGAAGATACTAACAACAATTTCATAAGGTTATCAGGAAGTGCCTGGCATATAACAAGGACTCAAGAAATATAAGCCAGAAGTAATTATTAGAGAAAGTTGTGTTTATGGTCATGTACGTTAAGATACCATCCTTACAATACATCTTTTGAGTCTAAATAAAATGATTACAGAATTTTTCAGGAAACTTAAAAAGAGTTTAGTCAACAAACATTTTTGAGCCCTTACATATGCCAGGGACAATAATTGAAAGAATTCCTGGTTTAATATTTATTTATTTAAGTTATCCTGTAAGGCAATTTTGTATGCATTATTTTACTTTTTAGAGCTACATTTTGATACTTTCATAAAGCAGTAGATTTCATTGTTTTTGAAGATATAATAACTTCTTTAAAATGGGTCAATCAACATTTTTCAGTTGGTGGCGCTCTTTCAACAGAAGTTTCAGTAGGTGGCGCTCTTTCCACTAAATTGGCAGTATAATTTTTTGTTTTACTGCATTTATGGGTGATTATGTTTTCTTAAAGTTAACCCACAAGTAGTGAATGAATATTAGGCTCTCTTTTTACAAGCACTTTGGTCTGCCCATCTCTTCTCAGACCTGATCTCGATTTTTTTTTCTTTTTATTAGAAACTTCAGTTCTACTTGCACCAGTAAATAATAGCTGTGAAGTAATTATTTCTTCTCTAGGCTAGGATGATAGTGTCAGCAATATCTCTATTCCTTGCAAATTCTACTGGCGGCTCCAAGGTAAAGGAAGTAGTCAAACCTATTATCTTTTACTTAACCTCTGTTTTCCTGTTTTTTCATCTGTAAGATAGAGTTACTAATAGAACCTATTTTATGAGGATGTTATTGAGGTTTGGATGAGTTTATGTATAAAAAATATTTGAAACACTGCCTGACATTTTGTGAACATTCAGTAAATGTTAATGTTATTATTTTAGGTGGGATACACTAAATATGAATCTCTCCAGGACAATCTGAATTCAGGTACTGGACTGGGCATGTCGCAAGTTTTAGCTTGAGGCCTCTCCTTGACTTTTCTGCTCTGAGTTTAAGCACCCACTGGAAAAGATTCCCTGATTCTTCTTCACCTCCTCCCCAAATAACTTGGGTAGTTCTATTTTATCCCTTTATAGCACCTTGTTCCTTTATAGTTGTTGGATTAGTCTTTCATCTAATTTCTTACTTTTGATTTATAAGCATTATGAAGGCAGAGAGCAGCTCTTTATTGGTCACCATTGTATTCCTGTTTCCTAGCACAAGTGTGTGCTTCATAAATATTTATAAATGAATAAATTTACATTCATAAATGATTATGGGAACATTGGTCATTTGGCCATTTTTTTTTTTTTTGCAGGATTTTATCTTCATTTATCCCAGAATCCTTTTTCTCTTGTTCCTGAATAAGGGAAGAAAACTCAGAGTTTTATCTAATTGGCACCATATCCAAACATTAGTTGACAGGCTTTCTTTTTAAAGTAGAATATCTATTGAAGTTCATGTGTAAAGTCTTATCTGTATAATCTATTTGCTTAATTTCTTTTTTCATTCTTTTTAAATAAATGACAGTGGAATGCATTACAATTCTTGTTACACATATACAGCACAATTTTTCATATCTCTGGTTGTATATAAAGTATGCTCACACAAATTCGTGTCTTCATACATGTACTTTGGATAATGATGTCCATCACATTCCACCATCCTTGTTAACCCCCTGCCCCTTCCCTTCCCCTCCCATCCCTCTGCCCTATCTAGAGTTCATCTATTTCTCCCATGCTCCCCCTCCCTACTCCACTTTGAGTCAGTCAGCTTATATCGGAGAAAACATTCAACATTTGTTTTTTTAGGATTGGCTAACTTCACTTAGCATTATCTTCACCAATGCAATCCATTTACCTGCAAATGCCATGATTTTATTCTCTTTTATTGCTGAGTAATAACCCATTGTGTATATATGCCACATTTTTTTTTATCCATTCATCAACTGAAGAGTATCTAGGTTGGTTCCACAGTTTAGCTATTGTGAATTATGCCACTAGAAACATTGATGTTGCTGTGTCCCTGTAATATGCTGTTTTTAAGTCCTTTAGGTATAGACCGAGGAGAGGGGTAGTTGGGTCAAATGGTGGTTCCATTCCCGGTTTTCCAAGGAATTTCCATACTGCTTTCCATAATGGCTGCACCAATTTGCAGTCTCACTAGCAATGTGTGAGTGTACCTTTTTCCCCACATCTTCACCAACACTTACTGTTGTTTGTCTTCATAATAGCAGCCATTCTGACTGGAGTGAGATGATATCTTAGAGTAGTTTTGATTTGCATTTCTCTAATTGCTAGAGATGATGAACATTTTTTCATATATTTGTAGATTGACTGGATATCCTCTTCTTCAACAAATAGTGCTGGGGAAACTGGAAATCCATTTGCAACAAAATGAAATTAAACCCCTATCTCTCACCATGCACAAAACTCAACTCAAAGTGGATCAAGGACCTAGGAATTAAACCAGAGACTCTGCATCTAATAGAAGAAAAAGTAGGCCCTAATCTTCATCATGTCAGATTAGGCGCCAACTTCCTTAATAAGACTCCTATAGCATAAGAATTAAAACCAAGAATCAATAAGTGGGATGAATTCAAACTAAAAAGCTTCTTCTCAGCAAAAGAAACAGTGAGGTGACTAGAGAGCCTACATCTCGGAAGCAAATTTTTACCCCTCACACATCAAGTAGAGCACTATCTCTAGGGTATATAAAGAACTCAAAAGCTAAACACCAAAAAACAAATAACCCAATCTATTTGCTTAATTTCATCTAGTTTGTGGGTTAAATACTAAGAATTAACTCTGTTTGTACATGTAGTTGTAACATATGTTACAAATAACAAATAGCTGTATGGGAATAACTCCTCTCCTCTAAGACCATCTCAGTGTATTGTACTAACTGTAAAGGAGGTTTCTGTTAACTTTTTTGAGCAGCTATTATGTGCAAATGATACAGAATTCAGAAGTTGCCAGGCTAGAGTGAAAAATAAGTTTTCCACCCCTCTTATTCATGCAGTTCCCCTTTTCAGAAGCAATTATTATGTTTCTAATGTGCCCCTACTGACATAGTATGTGAACATACTAACACATATATGTATTTGTTTTATACATAGATGTGTTTTATACAAATTCATAGTATAACAGTTTTTAAGTTATCCTCTATAAGGGTAGGACCATTTTATAACCTCATCAGAAATACATGAGTGTCTAACTCCCAGGGTATGTCATCAGACTTTGGGTTTTGCCAGTCTTACAGGTGAAAAATGTTGTCTCAATGTAGTTTTAATGTGTTTCTCAAAGTTGAGTGTCTCTTCTTGTGAATAAGAGCCATTTGTATATCTTTTTGTGCAAACTTTTATTACGTCTTTTATTCATTTTTAGTTGGACTACTGATCTCTTTCTTCTTCATTTCTAGGGGCTCTTTACATATTAGGGAGAACAATCCTTTATAATATTTGTTTTCCCAGTTCTGTCGTGTATTTTTTTACTTTGCTTATAGTGCTCCTTACTTCAGTAGCATGAGCATTTAAACAAATAAAAACAGTTAACTGATGAGTGTTTGTACCTGTTTTGTCTTTATATTTTTTGCTTAGGAACCTGGCTACTGTATTTGCCATGTACCTGGAGCATTGGTTTGGCAGCTGAACCAGGTTGTTTTCCAGATTGGTACATGTTATCCCTCTTTGGCACTGGAGCTATTCTGATGCGTGGAGCAGGCTGTACTATTAATGACATGTGGGACCATGACTACGATAAAAAGGTAGTTTTATCCTGAAAAATAACAGAGTGGCTTCTCTCAATTCTATAGAATAACATGGTGGCATTACTTTTGAATGCCATAAAAAGCAACAGGATCAATTAGTGTCCTCACTAAAAGCCAGCATGAGAAATGTCAGTGTCACTTGAAAAGTTGGTATTGCAAAGTGCAGTTTACTTTCTTCCTCAACACAAGAGTAGCATGGGGCAAACTGTACATCATTTTACAAAAAAAAAAAAAAAAAAAGTTTTTAGTTGTAGATGGACATAATACCTTTATTTAATTTATTTATTTTGTATATAGTGCTAAGGATTGAACCCAGTGCTTCACACTTGCTAGACAAGCACTTACCACTAAGCCATAACCCCAGCCCATGCACTTCATTTTGGCAAAGCTAATTCACAAGAATTTGGGAGACTGAGGGTAAAGGAGATAAAGGGTAGGAGTAAAAGTGAAAAATCCCTCCTGAACTTTTTAGTGTCCAAAAGATCTGCTGTCCCTTTCATTGAGATGTATGTGGTGCCCTAACTATGCTTATTTATCAAATCTTAATCTAAATTGTCCCGTAAGCATTGGTTATACAGGAGTTCCCTTTATCCTTGGTTTTGCCTTTTGAGGTTTAAATTATCCAACGTCAAGTACAACATTAAATGGAAAATCACAGAAATAAACAATTTGTAAGTTTTATATTGTGCACCATTCTGAGTAGAATGGTGAACTCTCTTTTATTAAGGTATATTGTTATGATTTTATTCATTTTTAATTGTTGTAGTTAATATCCTACTGTATCTAATCTATAAATTAACTACCTTCAGTATGTACATAAAGGAATAGTATACTTAGGGTTTGGTATTCTCTGCTGTTTCAGGCATCCAGTGAAGTTCAAAATTCAGAATCTAGGATCTGAGAACCCAGTATTTGAATTCATCACTTACTGGCTGGGTGAATTTTGGCAAATTACTTAAGCTCTTCTAGTTGGTTACTTAAGCTCTTCATGTTCTGGTTTCATAGAATATGTTTTGACCAATGTGTCATATCATCTCTATTCTTGATGGAGTCTTGTTTATTTGAAGCTTTCAAATTTAGTTAGGTAATTCTGTACTACTTTATCTAGTGGTTAGTGATGTGGTTATTAGGATGGACTGACTGCTATCCTTTAGCATCTGTGACCTTGGAAAGTTACAAAGCCTCTTCCTCAGTTTCATTAACATTAGTAGTTTCAAGAACTTGTGAATGACTATGAGGATTGAGTGAAAGGATGCAGATATGGCTCTTGGAATAGTAGCACATTGTGAACACTCATTAACTTGTTAGAATAATGATAATATCTTGAAATAAATACAAAAACAAATACTATTTCCAATTTCAAACTTTAGAACCATATCAGGAATAAAGATCCAAGTCTGGTACTCTAACTAGGATGTATCTTTACAGTTTTGGATGAGTTGCTTTATTGCATAATGAAACATGATATAAATCTAATTGGCAGACTTTTTCTATAAAGAACTAGTTAGTAAATACTTGAGGCTTTGTAGGCCAAGTTGCCTTGTTGCAAATAATCAATCCTTTGTTAGAGTGTGAAAGCATACATATATAATATATAAAAAAGTATGGCTGTGTTTCTTAATAAAACTTTATTTATAGACATTGAGGTTTGAATTTCATGTTATTTTAATGTTTACATTACTTTTTTAAAAAAAAAATTATTTCCAGCCATTTAAAAAATGTTAAAAACCATTCTTAGCTCATTGGCTGCACAGAGGTAGGCAGTAGACTGTATTTGCCCTACAAAACATAACCTTTGATATCAGTCATAAAAAAATATGTTGTTAACAATAGGTAATATTTGTTGCATACTTACATGCCTCAGTGCATTTACTCTATAAGGTGGTGCTATTATTATTTCTTCCTATTTTTCCTTTAATAGATAAGTAACCTAAGGCTAGAAGAGCTTAAGTCATTTGCCAGAATTCACCCAGCTAGTAAGTGATGGATTCAAATGCTGAGTTCTTAGATCCCGGATTCTGAATTTTTAACTTCTGGCAATTTTGAAATTTTTGGTTACATTCTTTATTTGTGGTTGAATTTAAGATAATCACATTTCCTGAAGGAAAAGAACAGTTAGTATATATAATTTGTCTATTTAACAGCTCTGTCTATTCACATTCTTCAGAGTGGTTTTGCCCTTAGCATTTGGGTATAGTTGATTGAATGTATAGACACATTCTTAAGTAACCTGGCAAAAGCACCCCCCTTACGAGCCCAGATATGTCTTCTTTCTCATGTCTGAATTCTGAGGGTAATGCTTCCTGTGCTCAAAACATTCATGTGATATTAACCTCTCTAATATCTCTTGCAGTTTCCTCTTTCCTGAGAATTCTCATTAGTATGGTGCATCTTTTTTTTTTAATGGAAATTGAATTTGTGTATTTGTTATGCTGAGTAGCTAAAAAAAACTAGATAAAGAAGTTGCTTTGATTGGTTTGATGAAGATGGAGATGGGAAATAGGGGATGGGAATCTTGAGCTCTTTTCAAAGCTGTTTCAAGTTGCAGTCTAATTCTTGGCAGTACTTCAAATGTTGTTTTCTTTCTATTTATATTTGTACCTTGGTGCCTACCATAGGCCAAACATTTGATTAACTATTTAAATAAATGAGTCATTAAATGAGGCTAACATATCTATTTTTATGTGTTAAGGTTACAAGAACAGCAAATCGTCCGATAGCTGCTGGAGACATTTCAATTTTTCAGTCCTTTGTTTTTCTTGGAGGACAGCTGACCTTGGCACTGGGTATTCTTCTGTGTTTGAATTACTACAGGTATATTAAATGTGTTTTCATAATCATGTATAAAAATCTCTTCTTTGAAATGAAAAAAGTAAGAAAAAAGTAAAATAGAAATAGTTTTATCACAAAGTTGCTTATTGACTACCTGACAAGCATCTGTAAGTTAGCAAGCATAAATACAGTAAACCACCACACATTAAAAAATCTGCTTCAAGGATGCTCTCAGCCAAAGGAGTTAAGAGATCATCATTTAATTTGTTCTGAACCACCTTCATTGTTTGTACAATGTGTTCCCAGAGGAACACAAGGTACTTTGTTGGGTTTTATAAGTGTGTATACACCCACATGTATATGTAGTTTGATTTATGCTGATAATTTTATCTGAAGTACATGGAAGCAGGAGTGATTAGAATCATTTTCAGTAAGAGGAATTGTGTCTTTCCCAGATTCATGTAACTAATGAATGACAGAAGAAATAAGTGGGAGGACTCCTAGATCTCTTAAACTGAGACACAATGTGTGTATAAGAAGACTGTTACAGAATACCTCAAGGCTGTGTGTGTGTGTGTGTTAGAGTTGGAGAGGTTTCAGCATATAAGTATTACTTTATAGAAACTGGACTTAATTACATGTCTTGCCCTGATAGCATAAAAGCACTTTTGGAAGGTTATTCCTGGAGGGATGGTGTTAGATGAAATTTGGGGTTTTTTTGTTTTGTTCTGTTTTGGGTGTTTTTTGGTACCGGGGATAGAACTCAAGGGCACTCAACCACTGAGCCACATCCCCAGCCCTATTTTGTATTTTCTTTAGAGATAGGGTCTCCCTGAATTGCTTAACGCCTCCCTGTTGCTGAGGCTGGCTTTGAACTTGTGGTCCTCCTGCCTCAGCCTCCCGAGCTGCTGGGATTACAGGTGTGTGCCACCATGCCCAGCTGAAATTTGGGTATTTAAGAACATCTTATGGTTCCATAGTTGCTTTCTTTTTCCTGAGAAGTAACACTTTTCTCATCTGTAAAAAGGAATGAGAATAAAGCCTCCTGCCTCCTGGGGTCATTGTGAAGATTCTCATGAGTTAACAAATGTAAAGTACCTACAATAGTGCCAAGTATAAGAGTACTATGTGTATTAGTTGTTATTTTGTTGGGGTTTTGTAATAACACTTAAAATATTTTTCTAATTAGTCCTTTAATAGAAAAAGTCAAAGTTTAGGAAGAAAATTTTACATAACAGAAAATATTACTTAAGATAAAAATATCTTCCACTTAGTATTACTAATGCGTTAAAATACTTAGTTGTTTCTAATGATTAATCCTGTTTTTCCTGTTTTCAGTATAGCTCTGGGAGCAGCATCCTTACTTCTTGTCATCACCTACCCACTAATGAAGAGAATTACATACTGGCCTCAGTTAGCCTTGGGTGAGCTTGGAATAGCTAAGTATTTCCTTTGATACTCCCAACATATATATATATTTATTTATTTATTTATATATAGAGAGAGAGACAGAGATTAAATATCAAGTCAGTTATGAATTTTCCAAACCAAATTAATTTTTATATTATAAAGAGGGCATTTATTCATTCCTATTGACTAAGAAAATCTTGCATATTTATTTAATTATCATCCCCATCCTCATCATCATTATTTTCTGGAATCTTTTTAAAAAGCCTGCGCCTGTTCCAGACCCTGTGACATACACCTGTAATCCCAGCTACACTGGAGGCTGAGGAGGAGGATTGCAAGTTCAAGGTCACTTAGCCAGACCCTATCTCAAAAAGGGCTGAGGATATAGCTTCATAGTAGAGTGCCCCTGGGTACAGTCCTCAGTAACACCCCCCCCCCGCTCCGACAAATCTAGGCATGTTGTAAAAAGATGATTGATATGGGTGCCCTAAAAAATTTGGGGAATGAGATAGGAAGCATTCTAGAAGAACAAGGATTAAAAGTATGTGTGATAGCTTAGATAGTAGCCATTCTGTGAAGCTTTCTTAGACTTCCCAAGAAGGCATTAATCTCTGGACTTCCATAGCCCTCTACTGTGGCATTTACTCATTTTAATATTAATTCAACAAAAATATATTGATAGCCTCCTATGTTTCCCCATTAATAAATTGTAAGAGGGCTGGGGATGTGGCTCAAGTGGTAGCGCGCTTGCCTGGCATGCGTGCGGCCCAGGTTCGATCCTTAGCACCACATACAAACAAAGATGTTGTGATCACCAAAAGCTAAAAAATAAATAAAATATTAAAAAAAAATAAAAAATAAATTGTAAGTAACTAAAAGTTAAGGCATGCTTTACATATGGCAGTATCTAACATATAGTACTTGGCATAGTGCAGGTCTTCAGTAGATTATTTGTTGGTGAAAAGAGAGAAAGATAGGTATGTTAATAAGTAAGTCAAAATCTATTGCAAAAAAATCTACTCCTAGACTTTTCTATTTTTCTAGAATGTTCTAGATTATTCCAAGAGTGATTCTAGGTTTGGGGACCATTCTTCCAACAAATAATAGAGCAAAAGGGCACTCCAGCCAATTGATGAAAGCCTGACTTGTTGTGATAGAATTATTTATCTTCTTCTAAGATTTCTAATTGAATGCTCTCTTTATTTTAATTATTAAAAAAAAAAAAAAAGTAGAAAATTATCTTCTTAACTAACTGGGAGTCTTTTGGTAGAAGGAGCCTAAGCATTTCCTATCCACAAGATAATACTCAAAAGCTGTTGCTTTACTTCTAACATTTATTAAACACTCCTTTTACCTGTGCCAGGAATTATCCTAGGTACTTGGAAGTCAAAAATGATCAAAACACATTTACCATCTTTAAGGAAGTAGAGAAGAAGACAAAAGATAAGCAGGTCTTTGTAGTACAGTGTAGCATGTGTGAATACTCTAGAACCACAGTTGAGGACATTTTCTGAATGGAAATAGGCAATAAAAGAGGAGAAAAGGGGTTTCTAAGAAAAAATATTGTTGCATTTAAGGTGTCTGAGGGAGTCACAGGCAGAGATGTTAAGTAGAATGTTAGTGTCTAGTCTGAAGCTTAGGGAAGTTATCAGACTTACAAATAGAGATTTAGGAGCTGTTATGTTCACATTCACCATGGAGGATGGGCTTGTAGAATAGGTGAGTATTCCCATCTCTACTCTTATTTCTATAATTTACGGGAGAAGTTGAGTGGTATTGGAAAGAACTCCGTTTTTCAGGTCTAAGTTCAGACCCCAGTAGTTTCTGCTTACTGACTACACCAGGTGCCTTATTAGGCAGGGTGAATGTTCTCATTAAACCTATTTACCTTATTGGGTGATATTATTCTATTAGCTATGTTATTTTAATTCTTAATTAAATTCTGGGCCTTTTTCCTTTTTGGTAATTTTGAGCTAATAAGTGCCATAGACGGCTGAAAGAATTTAATGAAGGAACACATAGGAGTCTCTTCAGACCCTAAAACAGCAAACACTTAGTATATACAGATGCCCCTCTCCTTCCATGTGGAATTCTGAAGTACATCTTGACTTTTCCCCCTCTCTGTTTTACCAATCATAGGGCTGACTTTTAATTGGGGAGCATTACTTGGATGGTCTGCTGTCAAGGGTTCCTGTGATCCATCTGTGTGCCTGCCTCTTTATTTTTCTGGAGTTATGTGGACACTGATATATGATACTATATATGCTCATCAGGTAAAGAAATAATATTTTTTCTTAACTTTGGTTTATATATTGTTTTTAGAGAATCTTAAAATCAGAACCAAATAAAGGAGAAAGTTGTTTTTTCCTAAAAAGAAAGGCACAATTCCATAACTCCAACAAAATACTTGTTTCATATTTATGTATGTTAACCAAAGAGTTTGACTAGTCTGTTTTGTTTACAAGAATTTAAGTAATTTTTACTATATTCAAGAACTATTTTCAACACTTTTCAAATACTAGTTTATTGTTCACAATAGCCTGCAAGGAAGGTAATTTTATTATTGTCATTTTACAGATGTATGAAGTATGTATGAAATAACTTGGCCATGTCACACAGTAGGTGGCAGAGCTGAGATTCAAACTCAGTTTCCAGAATCTGCATTTTTAATGTTATACAATCCTTCCCCTCTATATACCTTTAATCGTTGTATTGGTCATTTTTTTTTTACTTAGTACAGGTAGATAGCATTGTCGCACATTTTTACTGATTCTTTGTCATTGTCACGTTAAGACTACATAATATCCATTAACTTGGTATGCCATAGTTATTTTAAATTTAACAGTATGTCTATTTTGGCCATTTAAGCTGTTTCTGAGTTTTTACAATTTATAAACAGTATTTATAAATATTATAAATCATTAATAGTTCATGAACATGAGGTCTTCAGGTAAATTTTTATGAATGGTATTATAGAATTAAAGGTATACACTTTTATAGCTCTTTTTTTAATTTTTAAAAATATTTATTTATTTATGTATCTTTAGTTTTAGGTGGACACATTATTTTGTTTTTATGTGGTGCTGAGGATCAAACCCAGTGCTTCATGCATGCCAGGCGAGCGCTCTACCACTGAGCCACAACCCCAGCCCTTTTTTTATAGCTCTTGATAATGCTTTGTCATAATTTTGATTTTAGAAACTTCTTTTTTTAACATTTTTTTATTTATGACCTTGTACATTTATGCTTTTTTCTACCTTGAGATGCAGTTGACAAAAAATTATATCTTCAAGATATATAATGTGATAATTTGATATACATATACATTGTGAAATGATTACCATAATCAAATTAATTGACACACTCATCACTACAATTAATTACCGTTTGCGCATGTGGTGAGGGTGTTTATAAACTTTAAAAATTTTTTAACAACATTTTTCTTAGAAATTATGATTATATATTCTCAATTATTTGCTTAAAGAATATGTCATGATTTAATAAAATTGTTTTTGTAGTATTTCAACCTAGATTTCATCCTTTTTACTCTATTACTGCTACATATGGAGAAGCAGATCTGTAATCAGTCTTATTTCTGAAGTAGTATTTGACTCACAGTTTAGGAGAGATACTAAGCTAGTGATTAGAATAACTGTACTCCAATTAAATTGACTTCTTTAGTAAAACACCACATACTCACTGAGACTTATGATTCACATAATTAGGCAGTTTTTACCCTGAATGTGATTACAGTATGAAAGAAAAAGAAATAGGTTAATCCCATACTTAACTGTAGTTTAGATTTGGTCCCTAAAAGATAGCCTGTCAGGTAGCTGACTGTCCGCAGGTGAGTATACAGTTCAGCATGCAGCCACTGATATCATGTGACCCTAATTACAACATACAATTACTGGGGGAGACCACACAGCTAGATGTGCATAAACAGAAAAGACTTGATGGGAAAGCCAAGGAATTGGGCTACAAGTATAGAGGATGGATGTGATTATGTGGTGAGTGAGCATTTTACCTGTATTAAAATATGTAAGAAATTATTGAGATTTGAGAACTTTGAGGTAGAAAGGAGCTATGTGAAGAATTAGAGTTTTAATCATGATATAGTAATGTGATATAATTTAAATCATTTTATGGTTGGTTATAAGAAATAAAATACATGGGAATAGAGCTGGCTGATGATTTTAGTATTGCATGTAAATTTGGTTCAGTCTGCATATTCATTATGATTAGTCTATATTTCTATGTTAGTGTCTTCTCTTACAGGTTGTGATATATCAGCATGCTCTTTAAAAGACTTTTCTTCTATAGCTAAAAGGCAGCGATAATTGAATAACCTTGGGAATATATTTAAAACTGCTAAATTATACATTTTGAAATATGAAATTTGTGTATATAGTTAAATCCCCCAAAAAACAATTTCTTATTATTTTCTGATATTAGGACAAAAGAGACGATGCTCTGATTGGTCTTAAGTCCACAGCACTGCGGTTCCAAGAAAACACCAAGCAGTGGCTAACTGGCTTCAGTGTTGCCATGATGGGGGCGCTGAGCCTAGTGGGAGTAAATAGTGATCAAACTGTACCATACTATGCTGCTCTGGCCACCGTCGGAGCCCATCTAGCTCACCAGGTTTGAACTTTTTCTTTTTTCCCTCATTTTTCCTTGGTATAAATTATAAAAATTATTTAAACAAAGTGCCCTCTATGTTTAGCAAGGAACTTCTTAAACAACCAGTTGATTTGTATTACCTTGAATTGCCCCTTCCCCTGCCCCAAGTTGTCATATTAAATATTTGGCTAAGTTATTTTAGAGAAATATTATAAACCTAAGCTTGGATTTTCCCCTTTGATTTTCCTGGAATTACTTCTGCTGCATCTGGGAAAATTTCAGCAGTGTGTGAAACTTGTGGATTGAGTTGAATTACTCTAAAAGCAAACTGATAAACCAAACTTTAAAAAAAAAAAACAAATCTTAGTTTCTATTGATGATTAGTAGACTAATCATTCAGAAGTTTTGGTTTCACTGACATTGAGACCAGTGCCAGGTAAGACATGACATGTAAACATGTCTAGGTTCTGCCTAGAAAGAAGGAAATTATAATTTCAAAATATTCACCCAGCACCACATCGCAAGTCCCTACAAGCTTATAGTGAAAGTCTGCATTATTGACTTATAAAATGAATGAACTAAATCTAATTTTAATTTAATAAATTGGCTATTTGTATCAGTGTTCTCTTTTTTTTTTCTTTGAATAGAATTGACAAGATGTTGATGAACCTTTGCTTAGGTGATCTATTTTAGGCAGATTGTTATGAGTTACTGGTCAGTGTAGGCAAGACTTGTACAACAAGGAATGGTATGAAGGAAACTGAAATCTAATGTACTGATTTTCCGGCATTGTTTTTTCATTGTGAAAGCTAAAAGATGTGAATTGGTAATTCTCTAGAATATCACCATTTTCCTCTTTAGAATTTCTCAGCATCCCCTTCTGGCCATAACTCATTTCTCTGAGGGCTGTCATCATCAACTGATTATCTGGTCTGGATAATAGATATACATGAATATTTAAGCACCTGGATATTAGATGGAAGAGGAACACAAAAATTATGAGAACAACCACAAATATAAGGAATCTGTGGAACCCACTTTACATTTGCAGCTGCATATGTCTAGCCCTTAATGCAGTGTTCTAAGATAGATATAATCTTCTAGTATTTGAGTAGAAAGGAAACTCATGATGTTAAATCTGTAGACCATATAATGAGGAAGAACTAGTTCCCTATGCCTAGGGAAAACTAAAACAAGAACATGAGACTTTCATGACATATTTGCAGGGCTACCATGGAGGGGAAAGTATGTTGTGTTCTAGGTTCTCTATATCCCCTTCTCCATGTAGGGATGGGAAGAATGTTTAGAAATGTATAGGGACATCCCTGGTTCTCTCATACATTTAGTCACTGAGAGCCAAGAGTATTAACTGTTTCAGTGCACCAAACAGCCCTGCACAATAGAATTGTCCTGCCCAAATGTGACTTGTCCTTGGTTGAGAGTAAAGTTTGAACCAGAGGATGAGAGTTGCAAGGAAACCAACTTCAGATCACTCTGTGTAAGGAAGAGCTTTCTGAGTATAGGGAACACTTTTGATCTGAAATGCTTGAGACAAGAAATACTTGAGAGTTTTGGAATATTTGCATATCCATATGGGGGATGGGACCCAAATCTAAAAACTAAGTTCATTTTTGTTTCATGTACATCTTATTCACATAACCTGAAGACAATTCTATAAAATGTTTTTAATATGTCTGCATTTTGACTGCAGTTCGTTAAATGAGGCCAAGTGTCAAATTTTCCACTTGTGATGTCAAGTCTGCTGTGGTGTCAGTTTTGGAGTTTGGAGCATTTCAGATATTCAGTTTAGGGATGCTCAATCTATAGTCAGAACTAAGAATAGTATGAGTTACCTCTCAAAGCATTCATACACCCCTTACCAGAAGTTTTTAGGACACAGCTTGGATGATTCTCAGTGAAAAATAATGATAGATTTTTCCACATTGGGAAACAATTTGGGATACAGTATTTCCCATTACTTAAAATTCAGTGACTACTATTTCCTCTGTATTGATTTGTTTCTTTGTTATATTACAAAACCCTGACTAGATACCAATGCAGTATTATGTTCTTCTCTTACAGATTTACACCCTAGACATCCACAGACCTGAGGATTGTTGGGATAAATTTACCTCCAACCGAACAATAGGAATAATCATTTTTTTAGGGATTGTCCTTGGGAACTTGTGGAAAGAAAAGAAGATAGATGAAACAAAGACAAATAAAGATAGTAAAATAGAAAATTAGCAAATAAAGTTTAGGAATTAGGAAAACAAATTTTGACAAAACACCCTCAGGCCTTGCAAGCACATAATTAGGTAAAATAAGCAATCTGGTGCAATATGTTAAAGAAGTAAGAACCAAAAGATGAAGATTTATATCATATTTACCTGGGTTTTAATTCATCTATTTGCTAGCAGAATTATTCCCCTGTCACAGAAACCAGGGACTCTCTTAAGATTTGAGATGACCTTGATATTTAAGTTGATGCATTCTTCTGCCCATTATAATTCTCATCTGAAGTTATGGAAATCATGAGAGTTTTGGCACTTTAGAAAAACCCTGATGTGTATCTCATCAAAATGAATGTCTCTGTAGGAAAATATAGTTTCTATTTATTTTTTATATTATCTAATTATAATTTATAAACTAGAAACATGTTTGAATGTATCATTCTTCTCCGTACCCCTTCAGAATGTTTCCAACACAGCAACCAGAGTAATTCTCTTAAGTGACCTAAGTAAGGTCATGTCATTCCTCTGCCCAGAACCCTCCAGGATCTCCCCTGGTCGCTCAGTACAAACTCAGAATCCTGTTACCTGCTAGACTTTCATGATCTGGCTTCATCTCTCATTACTCTTCATACTCAAACCTGCTCCAGCCATGCTGTGTGCCTTACTGTTCTCAGTCAGTGTAGGCAGACTCCTACCCTAGGGCCTTTTCATATACTATTCACTTTGCTTGAGTGAAAACTAGGTCTTACTCCTTTACTGCAGGTCTTTTTCTCTTCCCCGCTTCCCTCCCCCCTACCCATCCTTTCTTCCTTCTTTTCTCTCACTGAATTGTGATCTTCCTGCATCCACCTCCCAAATCACTGGAATATAAGCACGCACTACTGCACCTGGCTTCCAGTCTTTTCTTGAACCTCACCTTCTCAAAGAGGCTTTTCTTAGTCACTGTTTCTAAAATTTATACAGATATTACCCATACTTCCTGTCTCTAAAAAGCTCTTCGTTGCTTTTTTCTTGCAGCACTTATTGTTAACCTAAAATACCTTTTACTTGATTTAAGTGACTATCATGGACAATGAAATGAAGAGGCAATCACTTGTATATGTGGGTTGTGGGCAGCAACAAATGTTAACTTGTATAATATTGATGACAGTGACAGTAATGCAACCGACTGAGCACTTACATATTCCCCTCACTGATCAATAAGCATAGGAAAAATTGTTTAACTTTTTCCAGCAAATAATGAAACATTGAAAGTGTTAAGACTTAGGACAGAAGTAGCAGCTGTAACTTTGCTGTAGTAGCAGTGAATTGAAGGAGGAAGAAGGAGGAACATGGTACCCTACTTTTAATTAAATATGATTGCCTTTAATTTTACCTAATTCTTACACTGATCAAGATAGAATTTAAGGGCTGGGGATGTGGCTTAAGCGGTAGCACACTCGCCTGGCATGCGTACGGCCCGGGTTCGATCCTCAGCACCACATACAAACAAAGATGTTGTGTCTGCCAAAAACTAAAAAAAAAATATTAAAAAAATTCTCTCTCTCTCTGTCTTTTAAAAAAAAAAAAAGATAGAATTTAAATCTATTGATTTGTTTTCTTAATAATATCATGTTATATTTTAAAATGCTTAACCATCTTAACCCGTTATCATTGACTTCAGTTAAAAGGAGGATGAATGGCATTGGTTTCATTTTCCTAAGTTGAAAAAAATTGAAAGAAATTTTGGAATCAATAAAAATCTTGCAGCCATTTGTGAAGAATCGGGGCAGGAGAAGAGAAAGTTAATTCATAGATTCACTTGCTCTCAAAAGCTGCTAAAACTTAACTGGATCATTTTAGTTCTTTCACATTTCTGTTTTTGTCTTCCAGTAGACAAGCAGAAAAAAAAACAATATAAATGGGTAAGAGTAAGATAGGAAAAAAAAGATGAAGTAGGATATTAGCCTCTAGAATCAAGGACTCAAAACAATTCAGGCTCAGAAAGAACAATTGTCATCCATCTACAGTGAAGATTGTCTGTACCCTATATAATTATGAGGGGTATTGCCAGACATAAAATGACAGTGGGAGTCACCAGTCTTGGGAAATCTATTAAATGGATAGAGTCCTTGCTCTAGACATCTACTTTGGATTCTGTGAGTCTGTATAGAGAAATGAGTGAAAGAGTTCTATAAATTGTGGACAATCATCTTGCTTAAATTTATGATATCACATGTGCTGCCTCTCCCTCTTCCTGAATTTCTTTGCTACTTTGCTCAATGCCTAGATTAGAAAGGCCTTCACAATCAGGTCCCACCCTACCATTTCCCAACTCAGCCTCAAACCTCAACCCTCAGGGCCTCTCTTCACTATCTTCAGATCACACTCACACCCTTCTCTGTCATTACAACTGTTCTGCCAGCAGATAGTATGGTGAGGCCCCTGGAGTAATAGGCCCAGGTGTGAGTACTCTGGCAGTCTTCAGCTAGGACCCCTCTGGCACCATGTCCTCATCTGCCAAACTGAGCTATCATTAACATTTAACTAATTTGGGATATGTTTGAGTTATGGACTGACTTTTATGCCCCAGAAAACTTCATATATTGAAGTTCTAACCCCTTGTATCTCAAAATACCCCTTGTCTGTATTTGCAGATAAGATCTTTAAAGAAGTGATTGAGTTAAAATGAGATCTTTAGGGTGTATACTAATCCAGTGTGATTGATGTCCTTGTAAGAAGGAAATCTAGACTAGACACTAGACAAATGAATGCATAGAGACCATGCACACACACACTGCAAGAAGGTAGCTGGCATCTGCAAGCAAAGGATAGAGGCCTCAGGAAAAAACAAACCTGCTAGCACTTTGATCTCAGCCATTTTATATCCAGAACTGTGAGAAAAAAATTTGCTTTTTAAGTCACCTAATCTGTAGTAATTTGTAATGGCAGTCCTATAAAACTAACAGGAAGCCCTGAGCCTGGCATAGGAAAGCCATCTACAAAGGGAATTCACAGAAACACTCTCATTTTCCTGCAATTCTTCCTTTTTGTCCCAAAGCACAAATTTTGGCCCTTCCAGTGTCCACAACTATAGTTGGCTAAATAAAACCCTCCCAAAGATGTCCACATTATAATCACCAGAACTGGCAAATATGTTACATGGTAAAAGGCACTTCACAGATGACTGAGTTAAGGCTCTTGAGATACAGAAATTATCAGTTTGTGTAGGGGTGCAACATAATCACCAGTTCTTAAAAAAAGGCAGGAAAGTCAAAGGTAGTGATAAGCCAGGCATGGTCACACACGTTTGCCTATAATCCCAGAAACTTTGGAAACTGAGGCAGGAGGATCACAAGTTCAAAGCCAGCCTTAGTAACTTAACAAGGCCCTAAACAACTTAGCAAGACCCTGTCTCATAAAAGAAAAAAAAGGTGTTAGGGATGTGTCTTAATGGTAGAAAGCCATTGGTTAAATCCCTGCTACCTGCCCGCCCCACACACACACAAAAAGGCTGTGGTATGAGATGTGATAGCAGAAGCAAGAAATTGGAATGATGGGAGAAAGGCATTATGAGCCAAGGAATGAAGGTGGCCTTTGGAAGCTGAAAAAGGAAACCGGCACATCCTTCAGCATACAAGAAGGAGTCAGCCCTGCAGACACCTTGACTTTAACCCAATGGAGCTGATTTTTGGACTTCTGATCTCCAGAACCATAAGATAATAAGTTTGTGTCCTTTTAAGTCACTACATTTATGGTAATTTATTATAGCAGGCGCAAGAAACCAATACAACTATTCCAGCTGTCACTGACCTGTCCTCTGAATTCCCAGAGCACTTAGTACCAGTGGAGCAGTAGCTAAAAATTCAAGTCCTGGCCACAGCTGCTTGGGTTGGAATCATTGCTTTAATACCTACTAGTGGGATGATCTTGAGCAAATTCTCTGATCTCTGAGGTTCAGATGCTCAAATAGGGGTGATAATAAATACCTTTTCACATGAGTTTAAAATTTTTGTCTCCCCCTGTTAGAATAAAAATTTTATGACAACTGGGACTTTGTCTTATTTTCTGAAATGTCCCCAATACACCACACCATAAGCACTCAAATATTTATTGTACATCAAGTGAGCTAACATTTGAGCCACTTGCCAGACCTGTTGTTAGCTGTAACCATTAGACAGATAAGTGTTAGTGTTGCTGGGGATTGAACCCAGAGCCTTGCATATGCTAGACAAGCCCTCTGTCACTGAGCTACATCCCCTGCTCAACCATTAGAAATCATTAATGTCATCTAAAGTTTATAACAGAGGCACCATAGTAAAAATAATTTCGTGTATACATGATCAAAACTATGTAAAAGTATAGGTAAAGAAGATGAAAGAAGCAAAAAGTTATATCTTAGGTAACAGATTATTAGAATGTGGTTTTATAATAAAATTGGAAAGGTGTTAGTTCTAGATTTCATGTTTAAGCTAATCCAGTATAATTTGTAGTTTTTAATATTTGCAAGATAACCTATGTGTAGTCCTCACAAATACAAAGGCAAGAAAATTACCATTTTCATAAATTCTTCCCAAAATAAAGAATAGGATTGAGGACCGGAGGAAGACATTTAACTAGCCCCAGACTTCCCTGTCTTCCTTTGAGCATAATCAATCCTTGGACAACATCTGAAATTACATTTCTAAGAAAAGATAAACCCCAATAGAGCACTAAAGTTAGACCATCCTTGTGCTGCCAAGAAGTCACATTGTAAAACAGTCATAATCCCACCTCACAATAGAAGCAACACATTTTCTTAACCAATGATATCAGAGCTTCCTGTAAGGTTGAATAATAATTGCCACACCTTGTTCATTATCAGGAACATGACCAAGAATAGCAATATTGCCTTACTTATCTTCAGGACAAGAAGCAGAAAGTTATCTATAGCTTTCTTCTCTTCTATCTTAAAAAAATAAGAATTACTGCATTTTCAATATATGTGTGTGTGTATACATTTTTTACTTAATATTTTCTCATATCTTTAATCATTCTTTAAAAATATCAGTATTTATTGGCTACCTAGGCTATTACCATATCTATGTAGTATAATTTAATCACTCATTTAACAAGTAGGTTTTTATATTTTTTCACCATTTTCAACACTCTTACATGTGTCTTCTCATTTGGAATTATACAGGTAAAAGGTAACAAGCTAGCAAACACGAAGAAATGTTCAAATTAATTTAAAAGACAATGTTCTGAAAATTAAAGCAACCAACTGAAGGTTTTTTTGGTTGTTTTGTTAGTGCAGGGGATTCAACCCAGAGGTGCTGCACCACTGAGCCACATCCCCAGTCCTTTTTATCTTTTATTTTGAGATAGGGTCTCACTAAGTTGCTCTGACTGACCTTGAATTTGAAGTCCTCCTGCCTCAGCCTCCTGAGTAGCTGGGATTACAGGTGTGCATCACCACATTTGATTCAGGTAAGTTTTTTTAAAAAGTTTTCAAATGACAGTACCCAGTGGTGGCAAGGATGTAGTAAAGTGGATCTGTCTGTACTTTAGTATTGGCAATAAAGGACAGCATCTTGAAAAGCAGTGTGGCAATGCATAATCAAAACCATAAAACTATAAATTAGAAGGTGAAAGGAATGTAATTTCTCGAATTCAAAGAAACCTTAATGAAGTTTGGCAAACAGAAAGCTTTTGTGACTTAGTTGCAAGCTGTTGATAGCACTGATACACAGGTACTGGCTTTAGGGTGGGACAGATCTTGACGTGAAAATCTGCTGAGTGACCACAGCCAAGTTACATTCAAAGCCTTAGTTTCCTTATCTGCTAAATATAGGGAATAATATTTCACTTAATTGTCATGAGGAAAAAGTTAAACAAACTTCTTGACACAAAATAAAACCTCAAAAACTGGCCTCTCTGCACTTAGCCTGCAGCAGACAGCTGGGACGACACAGGGGGCTTCTTAAGTCGCAATCCTCCTCGTGCACCCAGCCCAGAGAGAATTCAAGATAAACCAGGTGGTATGTAGCTGCGGCTAATCCAAGATTTGATTCCACATTTAGGCAGAGCTTCCATCTGGTCAGGGTGAAGATGCTGCAGGCGCCAGAGAGCATCTACCACCTCTCAATGTATTCATAAATTAGAATCTAGTTAGGAAATATTGATGGTAGAATAAACCTTAAAAGCATGACATACTAGTCTGTTTTGTTCTTACATGGCAGATTACCTTTCAAATCATAGTAGTGTGGGGAGAAAGAATAGTTTTTGAGGTATGTTTGTTTGGCACAGTGAATTTTAATGTTAATTTTGATTTTAAGAGCACTACCAGGGCTTGCATTGTGCCTTGAGGACCACAAGAGGACATATGAACCAGGCTGAAGCCTCCTTGGGACCATCCAGGGAGACCCACATCCCCCTCAGCAGGTACATCATCCAGGCCAGTGACCTCACAGAGGGGACCCAGAGAGATCCAGCTATGGTTTG